AAATAACAACCACTGTTTAAAAAAAAAAAAAAACCAGAGGAGTGTTAAGCTCTTCTTTGAGCTTTTTAGTGTACAGATTCTGACAAAACCTGTCTGAATTAATCAAAGCACGAAAGCACAAGATTTGCCCGGAAGCCAGTAATTTGATTGAATGTATGATTTTGCATACAATATGTGGTTCTTTTTTGCCACATGCTATACAGTGGTGCCTCAACTTACGAAATTAATTGGTTCTGAACTCTGGTCGTAACTCGAAATGGTTGTAAGTCAAAGCACCATTTCCCATAGGAATGCATTGAAATGCAGTTAATCCATTCCAGCTGAGAAAAAAATCGCACACACACACACACACACACACACACACACAAATAACCACTGTAAGACCCACTGGAAATACAATTAATCTATTCCGGCTGAAGGAAGAAAAGAAAAGAAAAGCAAGTGCTCAAGACCCATCGGAAATGCAAAAAAAAGCAAATCATAAAGCAAGCAAAGTGTGTGAGACCCATCGGAAATGGGGGGAAAACCCCCCAAAAGCAAACAAACCCCGCAGGAAACCCCGCAAGCATAGAAACATAACCCCACCACCCAGCCCAAAACCACACTGCAGAATCCACCCAGAACCTTTTTTAAAAAAGCAGAAAGCAGCACCTTACCTTACAGGGAGTCCGAAGCCTCCTCCAGTCACACTCACCCTAACCATTGGGGTGAAAGAGCTACAAAGAAGCAGCCTTTTCGACTAGTAATGGTTAGCAATTTGAATTCCCTGCCTTTTTCCGTGCCTTTTTTTTTGTTGTAACTCGTAACTCTGGCCACAAGTCGAAACAAAATTTTGCAGCCGGACCTGGTTGGAACTCGAAATGGCCGTAAGTCAAGGCACTCGTAAGTAAAGGCATCACTATATAATTAAATCAACATATTTTCATGTATATAACGTGCACATAATACAGCTTTTTTTGAACTGTGGGTCATTTTATTCATAGAGAGTATCATAATCTTTTCATTGCTTAGGAGCCTCCAGAGGTCTTAGTCTGGCCCTGCTGCTTCCTCACTCAAAATAAGAGTGTGTATCATTGCATTTCTTCCCCAGGATTCTGATTTCATTTCCCTCCATTCCTCTTCCTGAAATCCAAAAAAATCTGCCTGTTTTTTTTAAAAATATCTCAAAAACCCCTCAAGATTCTTAATTTAAATAATTGTTTTTGAACTCCTTATTAAAGCTAGTCTGAAATCTGAATGGGAGCCTCTTTATTAGCCTTTTGCTTCTTAGAATTCTAGAGGGTAAATGGGAAGGAATGTGTGCACCTGCTGCCCACACATAATTGTTCAATTATTAACAGCACATCTGCATTTGCACAATTTTTCCTGTAGAAATGGTGGTTCCTTAGATTTGCTAAGTCTTTACGGTTGCAGAGCAATGTTGTGAGTACATTGGGTTAATAACTGTATTTTGTTGGTCCTTTGTAAATTGCAGTTTATTCAATACATTCTGCCACAGATCTGCATTGTGGCACAGTGATTAAACTGCTGTATTGCAGCCAAAACTGTGTTCACGACCTCAGGTTCAATCCCAGGTAGCCGGCTCAAGGTTGACTCAGCCTTCTATCCTTCCAAGATCGGTAAAATGAGTACCCAGCTCACGAGGGGAGGGGGGCAATGTATAGTCTGCATAATTAACTTGCAAACCGCCCAGAGTGTGTTTGAAGCACTGTGGGGCAGTATATAAGCAGCACGCTTTATCATCTTCTCTTATTACTTATTATTGTACTGCAATTTTTTTAGGTGTGGATTTCTTATGATGGAGGGAATGTTTTTGTACCAATACTTAAAATTAATGAGAATCTTGTTGAAACAGACACATGTGTTTACACCCAAGCTATTGTATTTGTGACTGACAAGGGTAATGTTTTCTACACCAAGGCAGGTAAGAAAATTTTTAAAAGTTAGTCAATTGGAGACATTGAAATCTCTTGAATGTAAAGCAGGTAATCACTCCCTCCTACCCCATTATCATAACACAGAATACAAAAGAACAGGAAACATAGAAATGTCAACAATAACTTTGCTGTCACTGTCTTCAAAAGGCAAACCACATTGGTTTGTTATAACAAAAATAATAAAGTTCTGGGTTGAGTAATACCTCTAGTGAATTATTAAAATTATTTGTATACTTTGTAGCCATACATGGGTCAAAAGCTATGCCATCAGTTTGGAGAGATATGTCATTGCCAAAGGTTAAGTAATTATGCATGAGGACAGAGTCATATGGTTTGATACCCTGTTTCCCCGAAAATAAGACCTATTCTGAAAATAAGCCCTGTATGATGTTTCAGGATGCTCGTAATATAAGCTCTACTCCAAATATAAGCCCCAGTTAAGTGAAACCCCACCCTCCACCATTGTGCAGGAACCAGAGGAAGATGACATGACTGTAAAATAAAAAATCCCCTGAAAATAAGCCCTAATGCGTTTTTTGAAGCAAAAATTAATATAAGACTCTGTCTTATTTTCAGGGAAACATGGTAACTATGGGTTGATTTGGAATTGTATTTTTGATGGCTTTCAGATCATCTTTGTGAGGAGTGTTCATGCCTGTACGTTTATCATGGCCATAGTGGTGTTCTATAGAAAATTGTGGATAGAATGTAGTTTCATTAGAAAGTTGGTTGTATCTCGAAAGCTGTGACTACACAAACACCACAGGAATTTCTGTGGTTACAGTTCAGGTCAATTCAAAGTTTTTTTCTTCCTGATTACATGATACAAAGGCCAGTTCAAATAAGTCCAGCCCTTTTTGCTCCTGGTGTGGCTTCCCCTACCCTCTTCTGCTGGTGCTTCTACATTTTCCAAGTTGGAACAATTTGAACAGACTTTTTTTATCTGATCTGTGATTCAATTTTGTAACAATGGGGAGGATATGTCTGAGGGTGGTGTTTCTGTGAAGTAGACAATTGGGACATGATGTTCAGGACCACAAGAACACTTGCTCCTGTGCTCTTTCCCGATTGTCCTCCAAATATTTTTATTTTATAAATACAGTGGTGCCTCGCTTAGCGAGGTTAATCCGTTCCGGATTAACCCTCGCTCAGCGAATCCATCGTTAAGTGAAACAAAAAAGCCCATAGGAACATATTAAAACTGATTTAATACGTTCCTATGGGCTTAAAACTCACCGTTCTGCGAGTTTTCTCCATTGCGGTGGCCATTTTGGATGCCTCGTTAGCGAGGCAAAACAGCGGTCGCCATTTTGTTTTAGCTCCAAATATTTTTATTTTATAAATATATGAGATTAACGCTACATCATATTATCACTAGTATTGATATACTAGTTTAGCACTATGTCACCTCTGAACAAGAAAAAAATTGAAACAAAACAGAAACCACCCACATGAAATAAAAGATGTTCCTTACATGTTAAGAATTTTGGAATGCTTGCTACCTTTTCTGGAAAACTGTACTACTCTTTCAAAACCAAGCATCTTGTCAGTGAACCATAAAATGATTGGCTGAGGCAGAACCTGAGAAAGGAAAGAAAGAAGGGAGTGGTGGTTCATGCCCATCTCTTCATAAGGAGGACTCCAGGACAGAAAAGGGAAATCCAACATCTGTGAATTTCAGTTATGAAAGACTTCGCCCTTCTGTTATGTGGCTCCTATGGCTTACCAAAAACCATCCCTTAGCAATGACATCATCATTCTTCCATAGGATCACAGCCTTTGTTGTGTTTGTTTAGGAACTTTTGGTTGAGATCCTCTTGCTTCATTTACATTTGTAGAGAAGCAATGATATCACCAGCTAGGACAGATTTTCAATAATTAAAGATCCCTCTCTTCTCTCCCATGGCCTATCCAATTCCATCTGTTCCATTGCATATAAGTAGAGATGGGCACAACTGCCAGATCTGTGGTTCATGCTGATTTGTCCTTCAAACAGGTATTCAGCACTTCCTAGCTGCACCTCAGAGGCAGCGCCTGGAGGAGGTGGGGCAGGAAAGTGGGGTACTTTCTGAAGGACAGACCAGCACAAAGGATGAACCAGCAGTTCATGCCCATCTCTATGCACTTCCTAGGTGCACCTCCTTTGGCAGGCATCCACTCAGAGGCAGCGCCTGGATGAAGCGGGGCAGGAAAGTGGGGCACTTTCCAAAGGACAGACCAGCACAAAGGGATGAACCAGCAGTTCATGCCAATCTCTATGTAAGTCATGGAAACTGCAGGACAGAAAAAGGAAGTCCAGCGTGCACCTCCTTTGGCAGGCATCCACTCAGAGGCAGCGCCTGGATGAAGCGGGGCAGGAAAGTGGGGCACTTTCCAAAGGACAGACCAGCACAAAGGGATGAACCAGCAGTTCATGCCAATCTCTATGTAAGTCATGGGAACTGCAGGACAGAAAAAGGAAGTCCAGCAGCTGTGATTTTCAGTAATGAAAGACTTTCTTCTTCTGTTCTGTGGCTCCCGTGGCTTACTAGAAATCCTCCGTTGACAATGACATCATCAGTCTTCCAGAGGTGCAACTGACAGAAGAGGATTTCAGTCTTTGTTACTTTAAATTGTATGGATCTCAAGACTAATTTCTATATACTTCCTTCAAATGCAAACAGTTTATTCCTTTAATATATGTATTGAGCTGAACAGACATTGATTTCCTTGAATAGCCACCAAAATTCACCTTTCTGCAATGAAGTTATGTTGTTTATACTAGCACAGTAAGTACATTATTTATACATGTTTTATATGTCCTTTATTTGTTTGGGGTTTTTTAATTGTTTTGCTCTTTCTTTATAGGTTTACTAAAATATGCCAGGCTTACAGTAAAACCATACCCTGTCTTCAGCATGTACTTTGACCACTTGGGAATCTTAAATCATATAATCCCAAATGGGACAAGTAAGGATGATTTATTAATTCATCAGTTAGACGTGGCCACATTATTGAAGGTAATGTGCATGTGATGCACTTATAAAAAATGGCTATATTTTAATTATAATATTTCTTGAATGCAAGTCACACTTATTTCAATGAAACGTATTTTCAGTAAAATACCCTGTTGCTACCTTATCAAGTATTTATTTACAGTATTTCATTAATTTACATAATATGTATAAAAATCAAAATAATACCTGAAAGTGAAAAAGTAAACCATTTTGTAAAAATAGGAATCCAGCCTTACCTGGGTTGATGGTGGTGTGGTAGGAGGATAAAGCCCCAAAGAGGATTGGGGGATTCCTCTGCTGGCTCCTCACTGGCCAGTGGGGAGCAGGGCTCCCTGGCTTATTATTGGGCAGTGGTGAATTTAAAAATTGAAGTCTTGGGACTGGCAGATTGAGAGTGGATGGTTTCCTCTCTGGTCATCTCACCCAGCATATGTTCAAGGCAATGGGCTTCTGATTGCCCCATCTGGGGCTCAGCTCTAACAGCAGTTTTGGAGTATTGGGGTTAGATCCTGACAGGATGAAAATGACAACTGGGAATCTTGGTCATTTGGAATGGAAAAAGAATCCTCCTCCTGTATGAGTGGCAGTGGCAGGGCCATAGTCTGACTCAGATAGGGGGCCCTTAACCTGGACTCACACTCAGATGGCAGAGAATCATGGTGGTGTGCACCCACGTGGTCTCTGTAGGATTGCCACACTTGATGGAATCTTCAGTGGCTCCTGAAATGGACAGGGGTGGGCAATGGGACAGGTGGGCCTCTCAAAGCACTGAATCAAAATTCTTCAGTGCTAAGACAGGGACTGTTGCTGTAAACCAATAAAGTGTAGCCATTTTTCTGGTTGAATTACACACTGTAGTCTTTTTAGGGTGTATCAGGGAGCCCTTGACCTTTTCCGCAATAAACCAACAGCAAAATAACTACTCAAAGACAAAATATTAAATAATCTTCAATTAAACGTTCATAATCCTGAGTTAATAGAAAATGCCCAATGTACAGTTCTTTGATTGGACAGCTTGCTAAATAAACAAGTGCCTAAAATGTGCAAGTTAACACCTCCTGTATACCAAGGGAAAGGAATTTGAAAAGATGTTATGTGCTGTCTAATCACTGACTTATGATTGGTATAAATGAGTAATCTTCAAAATATCCTGTCTCCAACAGACTGCTGAGGTCTTACTCAAGTCAATGGGTTCTTTTAGGGAATCAATCCAACTTGTTTTCCTCTTCTTCTGCTGCCTTCAACCTTTCCCAGCATTATTATCTTTTCCAGATAATCCTGCATTCTCATGATGTGCCCAAAGTAGGATAGACTCAGTTTCAACATTTCTGCCTCCAGAGATAGTTCAGGTTTGATTTGATCTAGGACCCATTTGTTTGACTTCCTGGCAGTCCAGGGTTTACAATACTGTTCTTCACCAAAACACATTTCAAACAAATTCTGTCAGTTTTCTTTACTGTTCAAGTTTCATGCCCATACATAGTGATCAGAAATACAATTGTGTGGATGATCTTTGCCTCTGTCTCCAGTGACACATCCTTAAACTAAATGATCAGGCTGCGCCACAGAAATGGCATTGGTCACCCTGCTGGATGACCTACTTAGGGAGGCTGATGGGGCAAAATGTCCTTACTATATCTAAATTGCTTCTAAGTTCCATGTGTACAAAATTACTTCAGAGTTGTAAAATACAAAAGTCTTACAGTTATGAAGAAAACTGTGGGCTCAGATACTTAAAGATATATGAAAACTGAACTTAAGTTGTAGGCACATATTTAAGTACAAATATAAAATCAAAATATCTTTTAAGAATAAAAAAGAATAATGAAAATGCTTTAAGTTACATTCCAAACATACAAAGGCTTATAGCCTATAAAGGCAGAGAATACATCTCTAGAACATATTATTTAAAAGTAAAACACAGTATAATTTTAAAAGCTTTAGATGTCTTCTCAACATTGAAAAATATCTAAGTTCTTAAAATAAAAACAAATAAAATGAAAAATGATGGTTGCTGTAGGTTTTTCGAGCCTTTTTGGCCGTGTTCTCGAGGTTTTTCTTCTTAACGTTTTGCTAGTCTCTGTGGCCGGCATCTTCAGAGATTAGAACTCTGTCTGTGTTCTGGTGTTGTGTGGAGGATAGTTGAGTATTTGTAGCTGTGGGATCAGCTTTTAAGTATGGTTCAGAAATAACTTAGTGACATAAATTTTCCATCTCATTAATTGTCATTCAACAAAAAATAGCACCATTAGGTTATGTAATTTCTAACTTCCATTCACAACATCTGTTGTTTCTTATAATCTTATCTAAAGGTAAAGGTAAAGGTTCCCCTTGACAATTTTTGTCCAGTCGTGTTCTACTCTAGGGGGCGGTGCTCATCCCCGTTTCCAAGCCATAGAGCCAGCGTTTTGTCCGAAGACAATCTTCCGTGGTCACATGGCCAATGCAACTTAGACACGGAACGCTGTTACCTTCCCACCGAAGTGGTCCCTATTTATCTACTTGCATTTGCATGCTTTCGAACTGCTAGGTTGGCAGGAGCTGGGACAAAGCAACGGGAGCTCACTCCGTCGCGTGGATTCAATCTTACGACTGCTTGGTCTTCTGACCCTGCAGCACAGGTTTCTGCGGTTTAGCCCACAGCGCCACCACATCCCTCTATAATCTTATCTAAATTTACAAATTATAACCAGAATACTCATTTAGTTGACCTTGCTCTGCTGGAGCTGGCTCATTGTTTTGGAAAACCACAAATGATTTTGAAAAAACAAAGTTCAAATCACGCTTTCAAAAATAGTTTTACTTTTAAAGCACTTTTCTCCACATTCTCCATGGTTAGTCTATTATTTTTCTAAATCTCTTAAATATACAAAGTTTCAAACCTTGACAACCTATAATTATAAGCATGTCTTCTGGTTTCCTACTTGTGATGCTTTTAGACTTACTTCAGAAAGAGCTAGAGTATGTGTGCAACCAGGGAGGGTTGTAAGTTTGAACTGTTCTCTTCACATTTCTGTTTTTTCTGAACTGTGCTCTGCTAACAGAAGGAACTATCAAAATCCTAGAAACCACTGTTAGTAGGTGGAGTTGGTATTGTTCAGTGAACTGAGCAATTCACTGCCAAGATTATGTCTGAAATGCCAGGTCCTCACTACACCTTCGAGGAGAGTGGCAGCATTTGTGGGGTTACATGCCCTGTTACCTGTCTGACCCTGAGGAAGCAATATGGTTTCAGAAAACAAATGTGGTAAACCTGAGTACATATATCTTGGGAAAGTCAATATGTTTTAATACCTCTTCTTCTTCTTCTTCTTCTTCTTCTTCTTCTTCTTCTTCTTCTTCTTCTTCTTCTTCTTCTTCTTGTTTAGTCGTTAAGTTGTATCTGACTCTTCATGACCCCATGGACCAGACCAGAGCACGCCAGGCCCTCCTGTCTTCCACTGCCTCCCGGAGTTTGGTCAAATTCATGTTGGTAGCTTCAATGACATTGTCCAACCATCCCGTCCTCTGTCGTCCCCTTCTCCTCTTGCCTTCACACTTTCCCAACATCAGGGTCTTTTCCAGGGAGTCTTCTCTTCTCATGAGATGGCCAAAGTATTGGATATATTATTATAAATTAATTTTTAATTAAGT